ATATATAGTTCACATAATGCATGTTTTTATTGGATTACTGTCATTGCCTTTTTGTTCCAAGATCCACTGTAATTGAAAACTATAAATGAATGTTATTGTAGTGATAACTCCCGATTAGCTCTTGTTTAAAAGTAACTCCACAATGATCGTATAAAAAGAACTGCATCTCTCTATGAAAGCTTATCTTGTTTTTTTTTTTTTTAAATCAGCCCACAGCCTTCTTTTTTTCTTTAAAATCGCTAAAATTTCAAAAATAGCTTTCATGCATTGTGGTCAGTATTTTTCATTACTGTACTGTATTTGTTTATTTAAAATGTTCGTGTCAACATTCTCATCTCAATGTAATGTTTTTCCTTTTAGTTTTTTCTTTTCCTTTAGTGTTATGTAACTGTACACTGTACACCAAGGGCCAAATTTATTTGTATTCCTTGTTCTTTGTACTGGCAATAAATTATGATTACTAATTATAATTGATCTCAGCGTATTTATAACCTACTCAGGAACCACAAAAATCCTCTTTCGGCCTCACATCCACCTCAAATCATTGGCCCAGATTATTGTTTATGATTAGTGCTGCGTTAATGATTGGTACTATTGTGGACAGGAGCAGAAAGCGCCACGGAAGAGTATTTTGAGGTGGGGGTGCTGAGGTGCCTGTCTGTCGCTACCCGTCTGCCAGCCTGCCCCTTATCTGCAGTGCGCATTGGCCGAGATGTCCGCCGTATTTTGACAACCTAACCCAACCCTTTAACTTCTGTTAGACAGCTGTCATACTGTATACATTTGTACTGTTGCAATGTATGCAAACAATGTAATGGCATATGCCCTGTCTACAGAAGTTAAAATCCATTTCTCACTTATTCTGACAATGTACTTAACCCCAATAAAAGAACCCAATAAAAACGAGTGTTAAAAATAGTGAAGTCACGCTTGTAATACAAGTAACTCATCTCTCTCGGAGTTTTCTTTTGTGCTTAGCCAAAAGCCACTGTTGTCAAGTGTCCTACTTGGCGTTGCCGTACGGAGTGAGTGTCCAATATGCGCGGACCATCTCGCACATGCGCACTGGAGAGGTAGGGGCAGGCGCGGCAGATCGGGAAACCCGTAGTGCACTGTCCGATTACTAATTACGCACCATACGCGCGGGGGGCAAACCACACACACACAGCATAACAATGGACTCCACTGAACACCTATAGATGGCCGAAGTCCCTCCCCTCCGGGGAGCTCCATGGCGACCTTATTTCGGAAAAATATGTATTGAAGTCATGGAGAGGAAAGGATTACTTTCGATCCCGTTAATGCTGCAACGAATTACACCATATTGATGTTTGTCAATTTAAAAGATTAATTTTTGCAGTCAAAACTAAAAAAACTGTGTGTAAAACTTTTGAAGCCCAAACACGTTTTTTGTTGTGAAACCTCTCAATGAACTACATCTCTTGCACAACAACACACGCTGTCATCAGATGGCCGTCACTACTGTCTGGTCAAAAAAGGGATTGCTACCCCACTATCACACAATGGCAAACCACGTCCAGAAGAATGTCATGCAAAGCTGCCCTGCCTGCCCCTTCCTTGATTGTCTTGAATGCTTGATCTTTTTAATGTTTAATATAACCATTTGTGCAGATAGCATGAACGTTGAAAAAGATTGCCGATGCTTAATGTAGCGTTAGTGTTTCTCCCCCGTCTTAAATAGTGTATATTATATAGAATGTCACCCACCGGTGTGACAGTACTCTTCAAAGGGTTCCGAAATATGACTATCTCTTACTGTTTAACATTTTGGTCTACTTAATGTTTACTTCCATGTTAAGGCTAATAAAAAATGACAAGGCTAAGCCGGGCTGTATGCTAACTAAACGGCTTCTACTAGCTAGGTAGCTAACTGATCCCCTCCTGGTTCCTTCATCAGGACGGAGCGAAAGAACGGCAAGACCCATTGCTGTATCAGTGGGGTGCGCTGGTACTTGGGCTCAAGCCCCGGATGTTTTCTGAAAAGCTCCCGGATGTTTCACTTAAAAAATATTAATATATATATAATTTTTTTTGAAATTTTGGAGTAATGTGCTGTCCGGTTGTTGTCTCGGACCCTTGACATGCAGACGTCGGCGCGACATTTGCCGATAAGTACTGCACAGTTCTTCCTAGAGCCTGCTGTTTAAGCTCATGGCTGTCAAATTTGGATATTAAAACCATCATGATTAAACAAGTGTGCAAGCAGGCGCACAAGCTGCCAGCAACACTGCAGCGATTATCGCACGTAATCTGACACAATCTGTCACCAGCCACGTGAAGAATGGATAATGTGTTCAGAATTTGTTGAATGTAGATGGTGCAAAATATCTGAGAGTGTGGTGAAACCTGATGTAAGAACGGTGGAAAAGAAATCTGAGTGATGTGTATACATTTACATCTTGTAAATAGCCTGTAACATGGAACTAAATTTTACCACTTGTATACTAGTATGCACGTGAATTGTGAACTAATTTGTATCGCACAGAAGAAACAAAAAGTTTGTAGCTTGTAGATAAAAAAGAAACCTTAGTGTTGACATACACTTGCAGAAAAACGTACCAAATTTTTTATAAATTATGTGTTCATTTCCACTCCTTGCACTGCACGTCAGCCTAGTAATCACCTCATGCAAACTCTCGTGCTCAGCGTTAGAGCTAGACGTGGACGATAGCTGAACTCGGAATGCAATACGGCTACGGAATCGCGTTGATCAACAGTGGCCTATGCAACATGATGTATTTTATCTTTTCAATCAGGATATGGAAAGCATGAGGCTGTTATTTTAAATGGTCATTTAATGTTGAACTTTAGTACGGTTGTTGGTCAATGCACTTTATCTATCAGAATGTTTTATTGTTTAGAAAGGTTATTAGAGAGTTGACACAAATGTACCTTGTAATAACTCCGAAGCATAAGTTCAGGTTTTCAAACGAGTCAGTTTATGACATCTGCAGTAAACATGAGATTCAGTGACCAGGTTAAACTCTGTGGCGTTGCCAGTATTCATACGAGCAGTAGTTAGATGCGTAACTATCGTTTATTCTTCCTACTGACCGCTATATGCGGTGCTTTAGTACTGAATGACATACTGAGCATAGTCACGTTGAAGTTTGTACTCTCCTATAATAATAATAATAATCAATAGATTTAATTTGTTAGCGCTTTTACAGGTGCTCAAGACGCTTTACAGATAATATGTGTAGAAAAAAGAAAAGAGAAGAAAGATCACAAATAATATATAGTTAAAGTTAAAGTCAAATAATACAAAAACAATCACCATTAAAAGCAGATTGAAGAGGTGAGTTTTGTGAGTTTTTTTGAAGGTGGTGAGGTCAGTGCAGTCTCTATGGGTGTGGAGTGAGTTCCAAGATGCATGGGCCAGCAACGGAGAAGGCTCTGTCCCCCAGGTCGGTGATTGGTGCGGTTGGATGGAATACGGAGGTTGGCTTCTGATGAGCGGAGGCACGCCGAAGAGTGTGATGGTGCAGCATGTCTGTGAGGTGATAGGGCCTGGTTGTTGGGCTTTGTAAGTAATGAGAGGACTTTGAAGTGGATTCTTTGACGGACGGGAGCCAGTGGGAGTTCTGGAGGATGAGAGTGATGTGGTATCGGAGCGGCTGTGGGTGAGGAGGCGGGCAGCAGAGTCTGGATATGTTGGAGTTTATTTGAGGAGTTTGGATGGATGCCATAGAGGATGCTATTGCAGTAGTCGAGTCGTGAAGTGATGAATGCATGAATCAGGGTTTCAGCAGCAGAGGAGGAGAGTGATGGGCGGAGACGGGCAATGTTTTTGAGGTGGAAAAAGGCGGTCCTGGTGATGTGATTTAATGTGGTGGTTGAATTTGAGCTGACTGTCGAAAATGACTCCGAGGTTGCGGATGTGAGGGGGGGAGATAGAGTGTGGCTGTCAATGTGAAGTTGAAATTCTGGATGTCTTGATACGGGTGGGGGCCGATGATGATGATGTCTGATTTGGCACTGTTCAGTTGGAGATAGTTTGTTTGCATCCATGCTTTTATTTCTGAGAGACAGTTGGTGAGAGTGGAGTGTTGTGGGGGTGATGGTTTTTGTTGAGATATAAAGTTGGATGTCATCGGCGTAGCAGTGAAATTGAAGGTTGTGGCGACAAATTATTTTGCCAAGGGGGAGCATGTAAAGGATGAAGAGGGGGGCCAAGCACCGAACCCTGGGGGACGCCTTGGGACAGAGGAGCAGTGGAAGGGGTGCAGTTGTTGATGTTGATAAACTGATGTCTGTCGGTGAGGTAGGATTTCAGCCAGGAGAGTGCAGTGTCAGTGATGTTGAGTGATGATTCGAGGAGGGACAGCAGGATGGTGTGGTTGATGGTGTCGAATGCTGCGGTGAGGTCGAGGAGGATGAGGATGTTCAGGTTTGCCGGAGTCAGAGGAGAGGAGGAGGTCGTTTGTGATTTTCAGAAGAGCTGTTTCTGTGCTGTGTTTGATCGGAAACCGGATTGAAATGGCTCAAAGAGGTCATTGGAGCTGAGGTGGGATTTTAGTTGTGAGGCAATGACACGTTCAAGTATTTTTGACAGAAAGGGGAGATTTGAGATGGGCCGGAAGTTGGACATGATGTCAGGTGTGAGTCCAGGTCTTTTGAGAATGGGTGTGACAGCAGCCAGTTTGAGAGAGGGGGAACTGATCCAGATCTGAGGGAGGAGTTAATTGATGGTGGCGATGAGCTGGGACATGGCAGGGAGGCTCTCTTTAACAAATTTGGAGGGCATTGGGTCAAGTGTGCAGGTGGAGTTAATTCCAGTCATGAAGTGGGACAGTTGCATGGGGGTCACAGGGGAGAAGTGGGACAGGGGCTGTGAGGTGAAGGGGGGGAGCCAGGAGAGGAGGTGGGGGGTGCTGATGAGGGTGTCAGATTGCTGTAAATGTTGCTGATTTTGGTTTGGAAAAACGAAAGGAAGGAGTTGCACTGTTCGGTGGTGAAGGACGAGGTGGCGTTGTCACAGGGTTTGAGAAGTTTGCTGATGGTGGAGAAGAGACGCTTGGGGTTGCTGGAGCCAGACTGAATGAGTTGTGAGTAGTAATTAGACCGGGCTGCTTTGAGTGCATTACTGTACTGCTGGAGATAGTCTTTGTAGATTTGAAGATGGACTGTTAGTGTGGTTTTCTTGTGTTGGCGTTCAAGTTGACGTTTCCTTGATTTCATTTGGCGGAGTTCGGGGGTATACCAGGGGGCGGAGTGTATGAAAGAGACATTTTTAGTTTTTGTGGGGGCCAGTTCATTGAGACAGAAGGAGAGGGTGCTGTTATAATAGTCCACAAGTTCAGATAGGTTTTCAGAAAGTGGGGGGGGGGAGACAGACATCTTGCAGGTAATGGAGGCAGTGATTGCTGAAGGTGAGATGGATTTGAGGTGTCTGTAGGTTATTGTGCGTTTTTGCTTTTGGGCGGGGATGGGGATGTTGATGTCCATGATGATGGCCAGGTGATCAGAGACGTGGAGATTGAGGCTGGACAGGTGATGGATGGTGAGACCAGTGGAGCAGACCAAGTCCAGGATGTGACCACGGCTGTGTGTTGGGAAGTTGATGTGTTGAGAGAAGTTGCAGCAATGAAGGGTTTCCTTAAATTCAGAGGCATATTTGCAGGTCGGGTCGTCAATATGAATGTTAAAATCACCAAAGAGGAGAACAGATGGGGATATGGCAGAAAGCTGAGTGAGAATGTCAGAGAGGTCGGAGAGAAAGGAGGGGTTTGGCTTCGGGGGACGGTAGATGATGGCTGTGACCAGGGGAGTGGGACCAGAGAGTTTAAAGATCAGGTGTTCAAATGAAGAAGCATCAGGGATGGGGATTATGGTAGCTTTTATTTCCTTTCTGATAATAGCAGCTATACCACCACCCTGCCCTTGTGGGCGAGGTTTGTCAATGTATGTGAATCCTGCTGGGGTGATTTGATTTAAAGAAAAATAGTCCAGGGGCTTTTGCCATGTTTCGGTCAGATACAGAAAGTCCAGGTTATTGTCTTTAATGAATTCATTCAGAATGTGGCTTTTATTGTGGATGGAGCGTGTGTTGAGCAGGGCTGCTCTGAGGTGACGTTGCATTGGGGGGGGTTGTGTGGACCGGGGGAGTGGAAGGAGATTGGTCAGATTCACGTGTTTTTTGTTGTGATGGCGTAGTGTGGGCGTGTGACAGGACCGAATGGACGGGATGGAGTGTGGAGACGTGGAATGAAATAAAAGCCTCTGTGTGGAGGACGGCGTTTGCGGAGTATCTCATTATCTGCGAGGATGTCCATGCAGTCCGGAGGCAGGCGGTTATTAAAGGAGTGGAGATCTGACAGGGAGTAGAGCGGCGGCATGATCCCGTGAAGTGGCGCTAGCACGGAGCTAGCTAATGCTGGGGACCCGGGCAGCAGAGACCAGGAGCCGGATGACCGTGGAAGAAGGAGCGGTGTGAGTCCAGATAAAATGAGAGTGATAATCCATAGCATATCAGGAGAATGATTCCAGTGGTTTCCGGAGGAGAATCGTAGGAGGGGCTGACAGCCTGGTGCAGAGTCGGAGCCGGGTGACCAGCCTACTAGCTTGTTAGCTAGCTTGATAGCCACCGGCTGTAGGCGGCAGGGAGAGACGATGTCAGCGGGGAAGCCGGCTGATCGCAGCGGGATGGGAAGACCCACACGAGCCGCGGAGTTAGGGTGGAGTTAGGCTGGAGTTGGGGTTGAGTTGGGGTGGAGTTGGGGTGGAGACAGAATTGTTAGCTCGGCAGACTTCAGGGAGCCGAGGAGCATCTAGGTAGCAGCCTGCTAGGTCCGATAATGCTAGCTAGCTAACGGGCTAGGGACCGATGAGCAGGAAAGAGCCAGCAGGTAGAAGATGACAACACAAAGATCTGTGTCGATTCGATATAGAGATGCTGCTATTTTTGCTGATGACTGACGTTTCAAAAGTATAGAGCCAGACAGGAGAGGTTCTAATCTGGACTAAAGAACAATATTTGGGGCAGAGGAGCGGCGAACAAACAACGCCAGCATCCTCGGCGACCCGGGAAAATTGTAGTCCGAAGTCCGATCTTGCAACCATGCATTTAATTAAGTGGAGTTGAAAGGTCGCCTGAATTCGTTTTTAGAGTGTAGGTGTCTCACTATGGGATGCTTCTCACCACGTATCCCTCAGAAGCATCAATCTCATTATGCCAATGCTGATTGGCTGGTGATCATGACATCATTGTCAGGGAATCCACCTACCCTTGAACTTACTTGTGCTACAAAGCAGCGCCATTCACACACCTCTTCTCGCTTCGGAGCATATCTCAACATGTTTATTAGGCTCAGCTTAACTGTCCATAGACTGGAACTATTTTAACATTCATCATTCTGTCGCATGGCGCTAGATAGCTTGATATGCTTCAACTCTCAGGACTTCACCATTGACTGGAGCTTATAGCCGTTTTTTTGAGGTTTTTCGAAATTAGTTTTGATAGAGATATTAGCACACCAGCTAATACACTGTCCCATTCAGTTGGCACTCGAGCTAACGAGGGTGGACCCTACCTGTAGCAATACCTCAAGAACTGATCATAATCAGCTTCACCTGTACTTTTTGTTTAATGCTAGTCTTAGCATAAATATATTCTAGCCTCTTAATTTTGCTCTCAAAGTGCACCAAAATGATGCATTTAAATAAGGACAATTTTATTGTAGGCATACCCTCGGAAACCCTAGAGGGTCGGGTGTCCACCCATCTTACTACTCCTAATCCTGTGTAAACACTGAAGATTAAAATATTGCAACCTTCTAACTTCTATAGTTCCCATCTTTGTTTGAATCATGATATGTGCTGTGAATTAATTAGTGCAAACTAATCATCGAGAAACTTAGTGATGTGCACTTAATAAATACAAGTACCAACGCCATCATGCCAAACTCACCCAGCAGAATCACTTGAACTGTGAATACATCCCCTCCTCTCACCTTGTAGTGAAGGAAACAGAATAGCTCTGAAGCATCTGATTAACTTTATGCTGAAGGGGTGCATGTGCCTCTTAACTGCATCCCCCCCTGTTGTTTCTCATCCGCCACTCACAGCCCGGCGCAGCTGTGACCTAGATCTACTCGATGGGAACGCTCTGATGTCACCTTTGCTCTCACGGTGTCCAGACCAATCGCTTGGCTAGAAAAAAATCGCCAAACAGAACAGAGAACCAAGGGGCTCAGGGTTTATTGACAAAAACAGTTTGCTGCTAGCTCCCCCTCTTCACTCCGGAGAGAAGCAGGCAATCTGTGAATCCTACTGCCCTGAATGCCACAGACACTGAGGCCTGTTGGGGCCTGTGTAATCACTCACTCTTTTGTCAACAAATTGACAAAACTACAGATTAGACTTTCCAGTGAAATGACCGGCAGACATAACAAAGTTGTCAACACAGGTGCAACACAATTCTGATAATGTGTTGCAAGTAGAGTCATTTTTGACGTGTAGAAACCGGGTTTTCAACTCGACTGATAATCACTCTGTCGACAAAGACATGTCATAACACCACAATTGCCTGGCTTCTGATTAGTGTGGATTCAACTCTGGAAAAGTATTTCAAGTATGCAAAAACATGGAGTACCAATGAATCAACACAAAGGAAGCACTCTAACTGATAGTTATGCCAGGATCAGAACAGAAAATATGTTTCACATTAAATGTTATATGGAAGTTCTAAATTTCCCTATGCTTTTTCTCAAATGTTTAACATTATACAATTCAGTATTTAAGGGGCCATAAAAAAGGGGCCCATTTGTAATGTCTTGGTGCGTTCAAAACTCATCTGCTTGCTTTTTTCTCTATGAACTTTCATCTCAAAGAACTAGGCTATTTCATGGAGCAATAGAAGGTGGAACAGTTCTTTTTGCATGATGTTTGTCTCTTTTTTTGTCTGTTTTGACCAAAGACCACAGGATTTGACCCACCAACATGTTCTTACTCTCAACTTATTAACGGACTGGGTTACCCTCAAGCAGCATTTTTCAAAGCTTAGGGCAGACCAATTTCAACAGGTGGTTGATAAACATATGTGACAACATTTAAATATGGTATATTCCTGCTTGGATATATTTAGGAAAAGATAAGGAGTGTAGGTTAAAGCAAGTATCTTTGAGTTTCATAGATTAGGTAGGTTATCTAAGTGAAAAAGGGAACATTTGTTTATATTGACTTTTGGTTTCACACTGGACATGAACAACAGTCTCTTGGTGGAAAGTCCAGTGTTTGTTTGTCCTGTCGCTTTTTGCAGTACCTCTGACTTTCTTATTATCAACAGTCATAATAACCAGGGTCAATTGAGGTCGCTCTGCACGTGTAACCCCCCCTCTAGAGTATGTTCTGCACTGAAAAAAAGGAAACGTTGACTCTAATTAAATGTATAATGTCAACAGATTTCACATAACTGTATTAAGTTAGTTGAAAGCCATAATATTACGTTTTAATACAAAATATTAGGTTCAACTTAATATTATTGCTTTCAACTAATCTAATACAGTTATCTGAAATGTGTTGACATAATACATTTGCAATCAACGTTTCAGTTTTTTCAATGTGGACAGTGCTTGGATACTGAAGTCAGAACTTTCAAGGGCTACCAAGCAAATGTAGTTAGTACCAACTAATCAGAGATGGAGTACTCGAGTCCTGGACTCGGACTTGAGTGCCGATTTTCGGGACTCGTGACTCGACTCGGATTCGCACACTGATTGACGCGACTCGGACTTGGACTCGTGAATTCTCGCGCACGATGACTTGGACTCGGACTCGTGAATTATCGCGTACGCCGACTTGGACTAGGACTCGTGAATTTTTCCCCCCACGATGACTCGGACTCGACTCTTACATTGACACTCTGACTTGGACCCGGACTCGAGCTAGTTTTTCTCTGGAGTCTGATGTCCTCTATCCTGGCGTGTGCACCTGCGAGGCGAGTTCACGTACTGGGCCCCGCTATTCCAGTCTAAAGATGTCTAGAGACACACCCCGCATCTGCTGTATGCTTTCACACATTCTGCTTCCACATTGGAAAAGAGCAGCGCAAAATGCTCGTTATGTGGAAACAATATTGAAGAGAAGGCTCCATAACACATTACTCTAAGGGTCGAGTTCAGACATATACGCTGTCTTGAACACTATCAGGTGATCTAATCAATAAATAAAGATTCAGCCGATAACACGAAAGCACATGGCTACCATGCAGAATGACGTCATTTTGCATGCTAAGCAGCCATGTGTACGTTTTTGATTTTGTGTGACACGGACAAAAAGGGGAAAATCGTGTTGGTGAACACGAATCAATGGTTTAAATGTTGTGACTATAACACGAAATGCCGTGAGACTGGGTTGGACTGACAGGCTGCAGGATGCCAGGACAGATACTACTGTATCTATTAATATAAAGATAGTAGAGCACCTGAAAGTTTCAAAATCCCGGTACGGGTAATGGTGTCAATATTGTTTGTGTGTAGGATACCCAACTTTACGCTCAACATGATGAAAATGTGCAATTCTCACTTCTTACACTGCAATACCCTATTAGCTATTTTGTACCATCCATTTCAATATAACCGTTCTTTCACTGGAGTATAAAGTGCTCCACTGAAAGGTAGGAGTCCTTATCCTCCTTCAAACACCCTGTTCATGGCATGACTCTGACGCTCTTGCTAGCTTGTCTCAAACATAGCTCACTCGTTGGCAGTTAGCACTAGCTAGAGCATTTTTCTTACTAGCTAGACCAAGCTTCTACAACACGGTCAAGCAGCAGAATTTTCCGTACCACATTCTGGTTTGTGCAGAGTTTAATAGTGTTTTATACTGTCAGGAATTTGTTCGTTCAACTTTAGGGTAAGAGCAACACTCACTGCTGCATTTCTGATGATAGAATTGAATTTTGCGTGATTTGTCTGACAAATGTAAGTACATCACCATCCCCTTTGCATCTGTGCTCTAAACAGCTCTGCCTGTGGGATTGGTTGATGCTTCAGCCTTTCAAAACAACTTGCAACCCTCCCTACAAAATCAACACTTGCACCCTTCTCAGAAGTATTCCAAGTAACCACCACATTCTACTCCGTAACTGCTTATCTGAGTTGCCCTTCTGTTTTGAAAAATCTCTTATTTTTCCCGTGTACCTGTAAACAAGACATTCCTGTGGAAAAAGCATGCATTCTAAACCAGCCATCTCTGTAAATATGGGTTATGCTTCAGGAAGTAATCATATGATACAGTGGAAGAGAGCATACAAGGCATCCAGATGTACAGCATATACAAATTGTATAGAAACATATTACATAAAGAGCAGCATGTGGTCGGGGTTGCTAAAGGGCATGAATGAATCTTACTTTAAATACTATCGAATATATAGTGATAGGGTCAAGCATACACTCTTACTTCTGGGTATTTTTCTCGGAACACAACCAACTTCAGACATCTTTATTTTGATTCCAACTACACTTCTGTAAAGTGTTGAGTTGACAAATATAACCAGGGGTGTAAAGTGGGGGCATAGAGAGGTGAAGTCCCTCCCTTTCCGGGGGACCTCCATGGGACCTTATTCCGGAAAAATTATGTATTGAAGTCAATGGCGAGAGAAAGATTATCTTTCGATACCGTTTGAATTGTGCCACGAATTACACACATGATGTTTGTCAATTTAAAATATATTTTTGTAAGTCAAAACAATTAAAATGTGTCGTAAAACTGTGAAGTAACACTTTTTTTTGGTGTGAAATCGCTGAATGAACTACATCTCCCGTCTCGCACCACACACCAAGATGGCTGTCACGTTGGCACATTTCACTTCTTTCTTTCAGAATGAGGCGAAAAGTATTAAAAGAGGTGAAAATCACTACAACTCTGGGCATGTTGAGAGCTGTACATACACAAAATGGGAGTTAGTCGGTTCCGTAAGAGCCAGCATGCGGGACCGGGATTCTGGGATTTGTAGTCTTTCTAGTCGCGTATTTTTCATAGTCTTATATTTCAACAGTTTTATGACAAACTGTGACTTTTTTTTATATGGAAATTATTTGTAAGATTGACAAACATCATGTGTGTAATTCGTGGCACATTCAAACGGATCGAAAGAATAATCTTTCTCTCCCCATCGACTTCAAATACAAGAGAGGTTTCTCAATACTCTAATTTCCCCTCCTCGACTCCTATCCTCGAGACTTACGGTACGTCCACACAGCAGAGTTAAAAAAATCTTCCAACGCTTCTGCCCATTCACTTTGAATGGGGTGACGTCACTTTGCCTCACTTTTAGCCGAACTGCATTGTGGGAAGCGGAGATTTCCAGGCATCTCAGGCTTCAGAAGTTGAGCAATGTTCAACTTTTTAATCTTCTGAAGCTTTCGGTTGAAGCGTCAGCCAATCAAATCATATGCCAGTACAAGCTCCAGCCAATCAATTCGCTGCTTGTGTGTCAGGGGCGGGAGATTCATGTGATTGGTTCTTGGTCGAGCTTCAGACACGCCTGCCGGCAAGCTTTTTCCAAAGCCGCTGTGTGGACGTACCGTTAGTCCCGCCCACAGGAGATGCGAGCGGAGGACTGACGGCCCCTACACACGCGGCGTGCGTTGCCGCTTGGCGGTGGGCGTGTCTTGAGCTTGGGGAGTTTACGCGAGCAACGCGACCAACAACCAATCACATGAATCTCTCCTTTCAATTGCATAAAAGGTTTTTCATCTCAGACTTTATATGATGAACATTTATGACATTAATGTCTATGGTGCTATTTTACGCAACATTCCATGCTGGCTAAATACTGTCTATGCCTGCTAGCTGTCCATTCAAATTAAGTACACTGGATATAAACTCTCCAAACAGGCGAAAACCTACCAGTTTCACCCACTGTCTCTGCCACCTCCCTCCATGCCTGGCTCCTCCGGTTTGTATCCCGGTAGGTGAACAGGGACTGATCATAAAGCACTGGGTGATTCACTACCACTACGATTATTTTCTCCTACATTTTTGGGCATATGAGGAAATGAACTGCGGTATGGCTCTCCCAGCATACACGCGGGTTTATTGGCTAGCGCTTGTACTGGCAGATTTGCATAAACAGGATTTGATTGGCTGACGCCTCCGTCGAGGCGTCAAAAGTAGAACATTGCTCTACTTTTGCAGCGAGCACCGCGAGAAAAGCTACGCTTTGCTCCCACAATGCAGTTCGGCGAATCGCGACGTCACCCCATTCAAAGTGAATGGGCAGAAGCGTTGAAGCGGCAACGCACGCCGTCGTGTGTAGGGGCCGTGAGGAGGGGAACCGAGGAGAGAGGAGGGGAAATTAGAGTATTGAGAAACCTCTATACTTTTTCCGAAATAAGGTCCGATGGGTCGGAAGTAGATGGGCGGGACTTCGCCTCTCTATTAAGTTTCGGAGGTTGTCCATTTTCTTTTTTGATCTTAACTTAAACTAAAAAAAGTTTAGTGACTGGATCTTGCAATGACGCTTTTTCAGTGACACATTCTGTCCGAAGACAAACAGACACATGGCCAAAGTCTCAAAAACCTCTCCTAGTTCCTGCAGTAGGAGCTCAAGGAGGACATGTTTCCTCTGTTACACACAAACATCGCTGTCAGGGCAGGTAAATATGTCAGAGAGATTAAAAAAAAAGCCACCGAAACACATGGCTGTCCTATATGTGTAACGCGTGCCACTGTCGCCGTCATTACGGGTCCATATGCTGGTCCTGGACCCCTGTCTTTTATGGTGTTGTTGACAAAATGCCCCTAAGACCTGTTATTACTGCTTCCTGCCCTGCAGAGGAGGGGAACTCAGCAACCTCTCTTTCTCTCTCGCCTAGCCAGAAATCTGAGCTGGGTGCACTGAAGCAAAACCAAAACACTCCGCTGTCATGCTGCATGCACGGAATGGAGAGCACGTCAGGTGGTGGCCGCAAAGTCATGAATCCTACTGCTGAGCAGACACAAAAATAAAGAGTAATGATAGTATTGTTTTGCACGTAAGAGCAGCTTCCGGGCTAATTACAGTGACAGGCCAGCTCCTGTGTTTAAAACTAAACATTTTCTTAATTACAACATAAGCGCCAATTGTCCAGATGATTCAGAGGAAATAGTGTGTATTCAGTGCGGTTGTGAGCGTTGTTAGGTGCACATTTTGCTTTAGAAAAGAACTTCTTAAAACTAAAATTAATTCTTAATACACAAATGTACATCGGTGTCTTTTTCTGCAGCAAAAAAAGATTCATTCGGCTCCAAAGTTTGCAAAGGAAAACAGTTGAAAACGTGTGTGCATGTGTGTGCCCTGTGTGTGTTTAGGGGGTGGGGGGGACCCTTGTAGCGGCAGAAAGAATGGAGAAAGTCAACACTGCAGATTCCATAAAACATGCAAAATAATAAATCATTCCCCATGCGTGCAACACGTTAAACCAAACCCAAAACATAAACAAAGTAGACTATTGGTAGGCCTACGTTTTTTCTGCTTTGCAACAAGTTTGAAAAACGAGTGTCCTCAAACTCACCGGTGCTTTGTACCTGCTGGATCCCCGCACTGGAAGACAAAGTGTACTCTGCAGGCAATGTAGTGCAAAGACGCAGCAGCACACGGCCAGAGAAGTCCGCATCCTCGCCCCGTCAGGAGCCGTGCTGGTGCACAGGCGGGCTGGATGTGGCGCAGGAGGAGCGGTGAGCAAAGCCGGGAGTCACACGGCTGCAGAATCCGGGGCTACGTCTCTTTAAATAGACTCTGACTTCTTTGTTCTCCTAAAGGTTTTTTTCCTTCACTTACACTTTTTTTTTTTTTTTTTTACAGCCCAGGGCTGATAATACCACCCGCTACCATGTGACTCTTAACCCTTTCTCCGCCGCGTGCCGGCAATTCAAAACATTTGAGAGCTTTGCTTGATTCACCCACCTGTGGTTATTGATTATGAAGAAACCATATATTTAGTTATTTTAAATATTTATTTTAAATACACACGGCATTTAACATTGTAAACAGAGACAGCAGTGCATGGGCAGGCACACTGCAGGGGATATTATAGGATTAGTATAAGAGTATTATTACACAAAAACCTAGAGTAAAACTAACCAGCAAACCAATCAAAAAATGCAAATCCTCTTTATGAGGGGAGAAATATATAATCAATGTTAAACAACACAGAGGCCTACCTTATTGGAAAGACACTGAATACCCCAAACAAATATATATTTTTTAATGTTATTGTTCATTTAACTAAAAGTCCTTCATGTTTCAGCTCCCTGTGGAGGAAAAAGTATTCAGATTCTTTACTTGACTAAAAGTACTAATACCACACTGTAGAAATACTACATTTTAAGTAAAAGTACTGCATCGAGAATGGTTCTTAACTAAAAGTACTTAGGCTAATACTTGTAGCCTACTGAATGTATAGTTACTAGAAAACAAATCTGTAAAATAAACGTAGTAGAGTAAAAAGTAAAACATTGGCTTACAAATGTATGGCCGAAATATAAAGTAGTATAAAATGAAAGTACTTAGGTAAAGTAAAAGTACCTGAACTTAAGAACTGTATTGAGTAGACTTAGTCACTTTCCACCACTGCTCTGGAGACACTTAATTCTTCATTTCAATTTTATTTTGCTTAAAAACCTCTTAACAATAGGGATCTGACTTTGACGTGGTCAATTGGTTACGTTCCCCGTTAAGTGCAGGGCTGGGGTCAAAGGAATAGCTAAAGAGTGAAAGCAGATGGAAAGTTATGCCTCGCTCTGTCTAAAGATCATTCAAACACCTACAAGGGGCCCTATTATGCTCACTTTCAGGGTTCATATTTGTATTTTGTGTCTCTAATGTGTCATGTCTCCATGCTTTAATGTTCAAAAAGCTCTTTATTTTTCTCATACTGCCTGTGATGCAGCACCTCTTTTCACCCTCTGTCTGAAACCAGAGCCCAGTCTGCTCTGATTGGTCAAATGGAGGCATTTCAGGCAGGGGGGATTGTGTGGGAGAGAATTTCCCTCTGGAGGGAACTTTTGGATTTTAGCCTTTGCAGACCATTTACATGCACAAAAACCTTTTTTCAGAATATCAAACTATTGATAGTGCAATAGCCTACTAATGATTTGGGGAAGGGGAAGCAATAAGTATAATGTATATCTTTTGTACAAGAAATGTGATAAAGACACAGTGTGTGGTAAAGAGAAACAAAAATAGAAATCTCTTAATTTATTTTCGCAGCTGTCAAGATGAAATGCTCGGCCCACTGGGGGTTTCTGACCCACCTCCGTCCCCTTGTGCAGAAAAGAAACCCTCTGTGAGTCAGTTTGAGATCATTTCTATAATTACAACCACTAATAGCAGTAAAGAATTTAGATTTCCTGTCTAATGGCTGTCAGGTTTTTAAAAGCGATTTGGACATGAAAAAAAGGGCTCTAATAAAATCTGAATGCCTTACAAGGAATTGCAAGCTCTGTACCACATAAAGCCTGTTATCTGCTAAATGTAATGAAAGAGAAAAGCTTTACAAGAAAGTGACACTTGTAATTTCCATACAGGAGACTATAATTAATGTTACTGGATGCAGATGTGTAACGTAGGCCTACATAATGCTAATTTAAGTAACATGTAAAGCCTACCATCAATCGGTCAGACGTCATTACCCTCTTATTTAAGTTGTGAGTTGGGTGACATAACATAGTATCACAATAACATGTAACAAAAATAATAGTCATGGATTTATGTTCCTGTTTTCAACAGTTTTATAGTTGTACAGATCATTGGTCCAAAAAACAATAACAGCTTCAGAGAACAACTTTGACAGTCGCAGCGGAAAAACACAAAGGGCCAATGCAGGGTAACTTAAAAGGGACCTATCATGCAAAATGCACTTTGTGATGTCTTTTATACATGTGTCCCCAGTGCGTCGGGGAACTCACGCAGCATCAGAAAATAAAACCCTCTCTTTTCCTCCGTACCCAAATCTTTTAAAAACGGGTGTACAACGAGCGGATACAGATTCCATCCAAACTGACGTCAAATTGGCGCCGGACCCACAGAAAGTTGCTATCAGAAACAATGCCTGACGTGCTTTGGACGTAATCTCGTCTTTGTTTACATTAGCAAGCCTCGCTAACACTCAGAGCTAACCTGTACTGTGTAGAGCAGTGGCACGCCCCCCAAAGATCGCAGGGGGCTACGAAAAAACACTATAGTATTACTTCTAGGCTTGGGCGGTATGACGGTATTTCTAAATACCGTCGGTATGATTTTCAATACCGTGACGTCACAGACTGTGCGCCAAATCACAGATGCGTTTCATTCTATTACACTGACACGGAGTTTTGACAGGGACAGCAGAGGGCAGTCCGTCTTTCCCGCTCTCAGAGCTCAGCACAGAGCTGATCTGAGCAAGATGGCGGCAGCATTTGCCGGCCCCGAACTCGGAAAACTAGTAAAAAAGAAAAATGCCTCTGCGCCTGTTTGGCACTATTTTGGGTTTACTCGTCGCCAGTGACTTCATCCAGCACAACGAGAGACAGAGGCGCTTCTTTGGGAATGTTTAAGACGGGGTGAGTGAGTGTTGACATTTTTTAATCCTATGCAACTGGTTGATGGTTTTGTAGTCGAGGTCGGACGGTTTTAAAAACGAAAGCATTTACGTGCTAAACATTCACGCGAGTAATCCAATGAATCAAATGGAAATAAGGTTTTTAACACATGCACGGAATAATATTGCCAAACTAGTTAGTGAATATAGCAAACTTTATTCAATAAGTCAAGTATTTACTCCCGGAAAATGTTTATGTATGATGATATATTGTTAACTTAGCTCACTATGGAAACAACGTCGAACATCTACAAACGCGTCCTGTATCCGATCTCAAAATGTGCCATTTGCACAATGTGTCATGTATGCAGCCCTTGTTTTGCACTTGCGCGCACGTCGCGGCACTTTGCGAGCGTCTACCGGCTCGGGCTGCAT